ACCGGGCCGGAAGCCACACTGCTCTTCTTGGATCTTGACGTCAACTATTTCACGGCACTTCCTTTCTAACCCCTTTGCGTAGACTTTACCTGGGAGGCCCAATAACGTTATGCCCCTATAATTGGAGCGTTCCTTGTGGTCTCCCTTCTTGAATACGGGTAGAATAACTCCCGTTCTCCAGTCCGCTGGTGTATTTCGCGTAGTCATCGCAGTTTGACAGACACGTTTCAGCCTGCACATGCATCGTGTGCCTGATGCCTTGAGTATTTCAGGGCGGATTTCATGAATTCCAGCAGCCTTTACATTTTTCAAGCTTTACGCAGCTTGTGCAATTTCGTCTACAGAGATAGTAATATCCGTTGCCTGCTGCTCTACAGGCAAGTCTTCCTGCGGTTGCTTGGGGTGAAGGAGTTTTTGAAATTACTCACTCCATCGCCGAAGAATGTAATCATCCTTGGTAAGTGGGTGTCCGCACCTGTCCTTCAAGAGTCTGAGACTGCCCTTCGTTTCACCTCGGAGCCGGCGGATGGTCTGCAAGAATACTTTGTTTGCCGAGTGGAAATTCGACTGCGACACCTCAGCGAACTTCTCCCAGGAACCACCTTTGGTTTTCCTCACTGCTTTCGCTGCCGCCTAGGGTACCTCGTCATATCGCACGCGAGTAGAAGGCTTTTTGTTTTCAAGCCATTTCTTAAGCGTTACCCTCCCTGTTTGCAAGGCATTGATTTATTATTCGTTTCTTGGCTAATGGCGAAGAAATTCAGTGGAAAAACTTCATTGCTCATGGAAATATGGATTTAATAAAAAATTTTGTCGTGCTGTGTTCTATTCCTGTATTTTTAAGGTGCAGAGTAAACTACTTATCCATTGCAGTACTTCTCCAAATGATTCAGATTTATTAAGCGTCTGAAATAGCCAAGCCTTGGATTCAAGTCATGGAGCTTGAACCAGAACAAATGGAAAAGTGTGAAGCTACTCTCCCCGCAGTGTGACAGGAAGAGCCAAGTCTGAAAATATATCGATGGATGGACGGCGCATTAACGAAATACATGAGGCGCGGGTAGCTGTGTACTAGTTTTGCCGTAAGACTGCAGTCTCGTAAAAAAGCGATGATTTTAGAAACAAAGGGGTGATAGATTGGGTTTTAAGAGACGGCGAACGGCCTGTGAGGAAGTGTCCCTAGAGATGGTTCGCGTATAAAAAGATGCGAGATGCATCTAAGATATATAATGTTTAGTGATGGCCAGTGATTTCCTTCCTTTTCATCCATACGGTAGGTATGTACAAGCACGTTCTCGTTTGTGCTCTCGAGTGTATCGTTGTTTGTGTTATTTGCCTGACGTAAGACCTGTACGTATTCTGTTGGGGAATATGTTAGATATAGAATCCAGATATGAAATTTTGAAACTACGTTGACGCTTATGCTTTTGAAATCTTAGCTACTTAGTAAAACTTAGTGTAAAATTTCGTCTGTTTATTGGCACAAACGTAGAGGAAGCTTGGAAAACAAAAACAGCACAGTTTTAATAACTTAGGTTACGTCGCTATGTGTATCGCGACCCCTTGTCTTAATGTTTATGCTTAATGTTGTGTTTAGAATCTTTCGACGCTGAAACAATGGTTCACGAATACAAACTGTCGTACTTTCCTATCCGAGGTAAGTTTTCTTTGCTATTTGCCTAATTCGAAAACTTAAACTATGGCATTCAAGGTTTGGCGGAGTCAATTCGCCTGATGCTGCATGATAACGAAGTGACATTCGTTGACGATCGTATCAGCAAGGAAGACTGGCCGAAGTTTAAGCCAAAGATGGTAATGCATAAAATCTATTTACTTGTAAACTGTGTAAAATGCTAACGACCACCTGTAAGCGGAATAGGAAAGGAAGGTTTGTAAATGCTGACCTTCTTTACACTTTCACTAAGGGACCATTTCTGGATCCTTTATTTTCATATAGTCAGTGGTGGAGCGCTGAACTCCATTTACATCCATCAGCCAGGAGTGTTTTACTTTAAAGGCATATATGAAAGCGTAGTATATAGTTCCTGTTTCCTTCCCACGAATTTGTATTCATCAACCTCAGCAGAAAGAAGAGCGAGTAACTCTGAATTCCAGGACTTTCAAATCCGGGACCGTTCGGTTCTGAGCCGGATGCTCCACCGAGGGAACAAACGCGATCAGTTGTCCACTTGTGCTGTTAAACGACTTGACTTCTCAGATATCACAAAAAATTTCAGATTCTATCCCTTGTATGTTTGATACGGTCGTAAGTTAGTCCTTATGCTAGACTTGGCTTACGATTTGTAGACAAGTGCGTCTCTGCTGCGTCATTGTCGACTGCTTGCTG